AAAAAATGAACTTTATTTTCTTGTGGCAAAAATGAATTTGAAAATAAGGATGGGCACGGTGGCTCATGCCTGTAATCCCAGCACTTTGGGAGGCCAAAGGTCAGGAGTTCAAGACTAGCCTGACCAACATGGTGAAATCCCATCTCTACCAAAAATACAAAAATTAGCCAGGCATGATGGTGGGTGCCTGTAATCCCATGTATTCGGGAGGCTGAGGCAGAAGAACTGCTCGAACCTGGAAGGTGGAGGATGTAAGCTGAGATAACACCATTACACTCCAGCCTGGGCGACAGAGTGAGACTCTATCAAACAAGGAACAAAAGAAAGAAAGAAAGAGAGAGAGAAAGAAACAAGAAAGAAAGAAAGAGAAATAAAATATAACCTCTAACCTATCATTCCAAACATTAAGTACATTAAAAATTTTTAAACAAAAAAATTAAAACATTACAGAAAAACTGTGAAAATGTTATTTAAAATATTAATGAAGACCCACAAGAACATAAAATAAAATAAATTCATGGGAATGAAGTTCCAATAGTTTGTGTTAAAATGGAATCTATAGTTTAATCGTGATCCCAAATCAAAACAACAAAATGCCTTTGGACATGAAGGCATGTATGAATTACCTGATTCTTTTTTTTTTTTTTTTTTGAGATGGAGTTTCGCTAGCCTCTTACCCAGGCTGGAGTGCAATGGAGCGATCTCGGCTTACCACAACCTCCACCTGCTGAGTTCAAGCAATTCTCCTGCCTCAGCCTCCTGAGTAGCTGGGATTATAGGCACGCACCACCATGCCCAGCTAATCTTTTGTATTTTTAGTAAAGACGGGGTTTCACCATGTTGACCAGGATGGTCTCGATCTCTTGACCTCGTGATCCACCCACCTCAGCCTCCCAAAGTGCTGGGATTACAGGCGTGAGCCACCGCGCCCGGACTGAATCACCTGACTCTAAACTATGAAGACATGCAAATAGCAAAGCATAGTCAATGCACTCTTGAAAAAGAGCAATCTGTCCACCAGATAGTAAGAATTACAAACAAGCCGTTGTAACAAAGAGTTTGAGATTTTGGTGCATGGATTAACAGATAGACCAATGGAACTGAATGGAAAGTCCTGAAAAACAAAACCAACAAAACATGTCTAAATGCAAGCTTAACTGATTTAAAAACGTTGCAGCTTTAGAACAGGAGACTGTCTTGTTAAAATACTATCAGTGGAATAACTGAATATCCATATAAAAAACCTAACGTAAGTGGAACCCTTTTTCATATTATTAAAAAAAAACGCAATTACAGGGAAATTCAAAAGCTACTTTAAAAATGTTTATTATAAATACTTCAAAAACACAGAAATGCACAGAATAATAAATAAGTCTTCGTATAGATTATCTTTTAGTGGGTCAGCAGCATGAGTAAATCAGAGCATCAGTAAGGCTAGAGTTGAAAGAACTGAAAGAGGTCGGGGTCATTGGTCACTTCAGTAACAAGAGGAGTGAGATGATATGAGTCAAAGAGGAACAGACGAGATGGCACTTCCTCTCTTCCCCTTGTCTCAGCCATAGAAGGCCTAGCTGCTTTCACAAGCCTTTGCTTTTTGAGGGTAAGACTCAACAGTAGCTAGGGAAAGGCTACCCGGGACAATGATGGATTTATTCCCCCTCTTACTTGACCAGTCCTCCTGCTGACCATTGGAACTCTGAGATTTCAAGACATATAACCCGAGCAGTTCTATTCCAGAAAGTCATGACGGAGGGATGTTGTGTTGATGATAGACACCCTGACCAGGTCCACAAACACTTTACTGACTTCGTGGCATTGCCAGGTTGCTGACCTGATAGGCGTAGAGGACTGTCTCCCTTTCCACATGGATAAGAGCTCCGCATATTTCCTTTCAACAATTCTTACTCCTGACAGGACCCTCAGAAGGATTCAGGAGCCCTAAGATTCCAAAAAAGTTTGACTTGTGGCTTTGCCAGAGATTTCCCTGAGGATTAGAGTTCTCTCCACCCACTATGGCCAGGATCAATTCAGCTGTTCATGTGCTGACTTCCTTCCTTAGCTTTGTCGCCACATCCCAGGGGCAGATGGCCTCTGCTCATAGCCAGGATTGGTGTATCAAACCTCAGAGCTCAAGGTGGAAACCCACAGATATTTGCCTAAATAAATAAAACTTTACAGAGCAGTTAAATTTGATGTATGTATCTAAAATTTTTATTTAACTTTTAAATTCAGAGATGCAAGTGTAGGTTTGTTACATATCCCCTTTTTAGTGATTTCCATTGAGGCCAGCATTAATAACCTCATTTTAACTTGATTGCCTTTGAATAATCCTATCTACAAGTCATGTCACATTTCAATTTTAAAAATGTAGAATTTTGCAGAAGAGGCAATTGAACCTATAATAGTGGCAAAGGCAAGTGTCACAGATCTATATGTATATCATTATATCATTACATACGTGTGTGTATACATATATGTGTATATACAAAATAGCACATCTATCTTTATAAAAGCCAGAAATCAAAAATCATCTTTCAAAATTTACACAGCCACATTGTTACTTGTGGAAACTTCTGAGTAGGAGGCTGAATTTTGAAAATTTTAAAGGAAAAAATGCAATTTCTATGTATTTTTGGAATTTTTTGCCACAAAAATACATGTGCTAACCCTAAGAAATACTGAGATAACCCTAAGAAAAGCAAGAGGAGTACTGTAGTAGTCAGATTAAGTGAAAGCAAGCTGATGGAACAGAAAAAAATCTCCTGAAAGTTAAATGGCTTAACACAAGTTGATTTTTGTGCACATAAATTCCGGTTTGAGTTGGCAAGGTGTTATGGGCTGAATTGTGCCCCCTCTCCCCAAAATGATATATCCACGTCTTAACCCCAGTACTACAGAATGTCATTGTATTTGGAGACAGAACCTTTGAAGAGGCAATTAAGGTAAAATGAGATTTTATGGTTAGGATCATATTCAATATGACTGGTGTCCTCATAAGCAGAGCAGATTAAGATACAGACACACAGACTAAGGAACAACCATGTAAGAATTCACTAAGAAAGTAGCAATCAGCAAGCCACGGAGAGGCCAGGGAAGAAATCAAACTGGCCAACATCTTCACCTTAGATATTTAGCCTCCAGAAATGTGAGAAAATAATTTCTGTTTTTTCAGTCACCCAGTTTGTGGTATTCTGTTATGGTATAATAGACTAATACACAGTCCATCCTGGCTTTCGCCTGACCCAAGAATCCAAGCTGCTTTCAACTTTTAGCTCCACATCACAACACATGTTAACTGCTCAACAGAAACAAAAGCACGGGAATGATGCACTGGCTTCTAACTATAAATGAACCACCCAAGAAGGTGAGGTAGACAAATGAAAATGGGCACTTGTAGTTTCTCCCATATGTTATTATGGTGCTCAATTAAAACCAACTACTATAATTTATGACAGTTTCTTCATTTCTGGGAATTATTTCTGGGAATGTCAGCATAGCCTTGAAATCTTCCAACATTTTCTTGCACCAACAAAGTGACTCGTGGTTTCAAAACAAGATTTCATCCTGTTTTAAAACAATTTTGTAAATCTTGGCAGGGAGAGTCAACCTTATTCCCTCAATAGCACTTTGCACTGTCCTTTTAATAAGCTATATAATTTCTTTAGGCTGACAATACTCTCCTAGTTTTGGTGTATGATAAATAATCTACCTGTGAGCCTCGGCCACCCTCCATACGATGGAACATTCCTGAACAGCTATACATGTGCCTGTGGCACACTGCAAAAGAAAGATTTTCCTGTGGGGCAGGTACACAGAAAAGAGACAGGGGAAGGATGTTTAACTATAACTTTTTTTTCTCATCAGAGCTGGCATGTCCACAAAGTACCCTTGTTACCTCCTAGGCAGGTTTCAAGATTTTTTTGTTTTTTTAGAAATTCGTCTTCTTGTAGATCATTTGCAAAGTGATTTCTATAGTCTTTCCTTATCTACAAAGTTTATTAAGGAAAGATTGGCATTTGATCACCTACAAAAGCTCATTCATCTGTATTTGGGTTCGGTGCCCTGTTTCAAATAGTGCATTTTATTAAAATCCTACTACAAATATCAAATATTACGATGATTTCAAATACGCTTTATCTACCTTAGGCTTACATCCCTAAAACAAGTATATTGTGTGACAAATTAGATTTTACTCTGCAGTCTATTTGGAAATATGTTGAGAATGTGGTGAAGATGCCCAGCATATGTATGGAAATGTCACTATTCAAAGTGTATATTCACATCAAAGTCTGTTATCACAGAGGAGCCAGGGAGAGGGATGGATCAGTCAGGGAACTTCTGCAGAGACAAAGAGTGGTCTATGTTAGGGGAAGGGTAGATGTCAATGGCGTCTGGCACTGAGAGCTGGGTACAGCCTTCAGAGTGGGAAACACGGTGACAAGTTAGTCAGCAGGCCAGGTTCCATAGTTGCACGAGAGCACACGGGAGATCGAAAGGACAGTGCTATAACGTGGGAAAGTCCTGGGGCTGGACAAAAGTACTGTGTTCAAGTGCACAAGAGCTGCAGGACACCTCCCATTACTTCCCCATGTGGAGACTCCTCTCTGCCTCATCCTTCACCCAGAGGGAACTGCTCAAGTAGCTTTCCATTCCAGGCTTTTCTCTCACCTTCTGAGAGTCTGGGCCCCGCCACCACCCAGCTTCATAAAAATCAGCTCCCACAGAAGCAAGTGCAGTTTCCCGAAGCCCAAAACTGCCTTAGCTCAGGGCCTTTTTGTTTGAAGGCTCCAACTGGAGTCTCACCGCCCCACTCCTTTTTAAACTTACTCTTTAGATTGAAGAGAAAAATCTTACCAAGTTCCCGATATGGCTTCTGTACCTATACTCTACCGTTTTATGAGTAGGTGTAAGTCTTGCTTTTAATAGTAACTTCACTACTAACCGTAACTTCCATGAGCAAATGCTGATATAATGTTCGTCAAATAAAGGAGTCCGTGATATTTTTATTTATTATCATTTAATCTCTGCTACTTTATTAAACAAGCCAAGAAAACCAGGTATGTATCTTTAATTTTCAAGAACAACAGACTAAAGGTTATGAGGAAATGCAAATATTAACAATTCTTTGTTTTGTTCCACTATTCAACTCCAGAGTTCTTTTACAGTTTAAAGAAAATTGCTACAGTAATACCATATTAAAGTGTGACAGACCACAGAAAGGCAGGTTTTCCCAATCGTGTGTGTGTGTGTGTGTGTGTTTTACAAACTATCAAACCGTTACTCCTAAACCAGTTAAACAGCAGCACATGTGTGACTAATATTCATAAACTCCATAAACTAAGTTTCTGAAGCTATTTAAACCTGTTATTAAAAGGAAAAGCATTTGAAAAATACCCCAAAGTAAAATAGGTAAATCCCTAAACTATCATATGGAACAGAAACGCAAACACTGTGTTCTCGCCAGCTTCACCCGGGCCCTCCATGGCATAGAAACTCGCCTGCCCTGTTCACACTCAAAAGGAAGATTCTGCCTTAGACTTTGCTCAGGGGAAGACGGGCTGGGAAACATCGGAGCTTGCACCGTCTGTGACAGTGGAGTCATCTGTGGTGTCAATTGTGGCCTGGGCTCTCTCTTCTAGATGTTTCAAAGCATCCTTGTATGAGGGTGAAAAGGAACGAGGGACGGTATTGTTTAGCATGGCCAAAAACTCTACTACTTTTCTCTTGCTGATTTCTGAATGGGCTCTGGGACCCCAAAGAAATTCATAACGTGGAGGAGAAGTGTTGGGCACCTCCCGGTACTCCAGGTAATGTTCCTGTACCCAAACTTTAGTGAGGAGCTCCCTGGGCTCCCCAAAGATGAAGTGCTCCCTCCCAGCACATACCCCTATTCCATTCAGCACATGCCAGATGACCTCCTCAGAGGCACAGGAGCCTTTTATGAAGATTATACTCAGAATAAGTGTCAGGAGGCGGTTCTGGGGCATGCCTTGCTCATCACTCAGACTCCCTTCACAGGTGAGGTCTAATGTATTTACAAAGACATAGGAGTGGTCGGGGCCCACTTCTGTCAGGGCAATGCCAAAAAGAATCTCTATGAACTCACGGGCTTTCCTGAAGATCATAGGAAAGTAGCCCCTGTACCTGTTGACGAAAATCGTCAGCATCTCTGCCTTTGTGACAGGCTCCTTCGCTTGATATTTGAGAAGAAGAAACCGCACCAACTCATCCACCTTTTCATCCAGTGTATGAGCAACCAAGGGCTCAGTGGCTGTCAGGGACTCATTATCTGTCAAGGACTCACTGTCTAGTAAGGTGTCTGAGGTTCTTGTATCTTCATCTGCTGGGCTGCTGGACTCTTCACTGGATGGGTTCCATAAAGTGGAGGAGTAGAAAGAGCCCACGGGACCCTGGAGAGCAGACTGGGAAGGCCCCTCAGGAGGACTCTGGGGACACTCAGGGGAACTCAGGGGAAGACGGAATGGACAGGAGGAGAAGGTGCTCACAGGACCCTGGGGGGCAGACTGGGAAGGCCCCTCAGGACTCTGGGGACACACAGGGGAACCCGGGGTAAGACTCAACGGACTGAAGGAGAAGGAGCTCACAGGACCCTGGAGAGCAGACTGGGAAGGGTCCTCAGGAGGACTCTGGGGACACTCAGGGGAACTCTCGAGAAGACTCAAACAGTCAGAGAAGATGGAGCGCACAAAACTCTGGAGAGCAGACTGGGCAGGCCCCTCAGAAGGATTCTGAGGCCTCTCAGGGGAACCCTGGAGAACAAACAAAGGACTGGAAGAGAGGGAGAAGGAGCTCACAGGACTCTGGGGAGGAGACTGGGCAGGCCCCTCAGAAGGACTCTGAGGACACTCAGGGGAACTCGGGGTAAGACTCAATGGACTGAAGGAGAACGAGGTCACAGGACCCTGGAGAGCAGATTGGGAAGGGCCCTCAGGAGGACTCTGGGGACACTCAGGGGAACTCGGGGTAAGAGTCAATGGGCCAAAGGAGGAGGAGGTCACAGGACTCTGGAGGGCAGACTGTGAAGAGCCCTCAGGACTCTGGGGACACACAGGGGAACTCGGGGGAAAACTCAATGGACTGAAGGAGAAGGAGGTCACAGGACCCTGGAGGGCAGACTGGAAAGGGCCCTCAGGACTCTGCGGACACACAGGGGAACTTGGGGGAAAACTCAATGAACTGAAGGAGAAAGAGGTCACAGGACCCTGGAGAGAAGATTGGGAAGGGCCCTCAGGAGGACTCTGGGGACACTCAGGGGAACTCGGGGTAAGAATCAATGGGCCAAAGGAGGAGGAGGTCACAGGACTCTGGAGGGCAGACTGGGAAGAGCCCTCAGGACTCTGGGGACACACAGGGGAACTCAGGGGAAAACTCAATGGACTGAAGGAGAAGGAGGTCACAGGACCCTGGAGGGCAGACTGGAAAGGGCCCTCAGGACTCTGGGGACACACAGGGGAACTCGGGGGAAAACTCAATGGACTGAAGGAGAAGGAGGTCACAGGACCCTGGAGAGCAGATTGGGAAGGGCTCTCAGGAGGACTCTGGGGACACTCAGGGGAACTCGGGGTAAGAGTCAATGGACCAAAGGAGAAGGAGGTCACAGGACTCTGGAGGGCAGACTGGAAAGGGCCCTCAGGACTCTGGGGACACACAGAGGAACTCGGGGGAAAACTCAATGGACTGAAGGAGGAGGAGGTCACAGGACCCTGGAGGGCAGACTGAGAAGGGCCCTCAGGAGGACTCTGGGGACACTCAGGGGAACTCGGGGGGAAACTCAATGGAATGAAGGAGGAGCTCACAGGACCCTGGAGGGCAGACTGGGAAGGGCCCTCAGGAGGACTCTGGAGACACTCAGGAGAACTCTCAAGAAGACTCAAACAGTCAGAGAAGACGGAGCGGACAAAACTCTGGAGAGCAGACTGGGCTGGCCCCTCAGAAGGATTCTGAGGAATCTCAGGGGAACTCTGGAGAAGACACAGTGGACTGGAAGAGAGGGAGGAGAAGGAGCTCATAGGACTCCGGGGAGGAGACTGGGCAGGCCCCTCGGAAGGACTCTCAGGGAAACTCTGGAGAAGATTCAGTGAAGTGGAGGAGAACGAGCACTCAAAACTCGGGAGAGCAAACTCGGCAGGCCCCTCAGGAGGACTCTCAGGAGAACTCAGTGAAAGACGCAGTGAAATTGACGAGAAGGAGCTCACAAAACTCAGGAGAGGAGACTGCGCAGGCCACTCAGGAGGACACTGAGGACTCTCAGGGGAACTTGGGGGAAGACATAGTGAAGTGGAGGAGGAGCTCACAGGACTCAGGAGAGGAGGCTGCGCATGCCCCTCAGGAGGACTCTGAGGACTCTCAGAAGAACTCTGGAGAAATCTCAATGAACTGGAGGAGGAGGAGGAGGAGGAGAAGGAAGAAGAGGAGGAAAAGGAGGAGGAGGGGGAGGGGGAAGAGGAGGAGGGGGATGGAGAGGAGGAGGAGGAGGAGGGGGAGGAGGAAGAGGGGGAGAAGGAGGAAGAGGGGGAGAAGGAGGAAGAGGGGGAGGAGGAGGAAGAGGGGGAGGAGGAGGACTGAGGGGGAGGAGGGGGGTGGAGTGGGAGGAGGGGGAGGAGCGGGAGGAGGGGGGAGGAGCGGGAGGAGGAGGAGAATGAGCTCACAGGACTCTGGAGAGGAGATTGGGACAGCCCGTCAGGAGGAATCCAAGGACACTCAGGGAAACTGTGGGGAAGACTCAGTGAAGTGGAGGAGCAACTCACAGGACTCAGGAGAGGAGACTGTGCAGGCCCCTCAGGAGGACTCTGAGGGCTCTCGGGAGAACTCTGGAGAAGACACAATGAACTGGAGGAGGAGGAGCTCACAGGACTCTGGGGAGGAGACTGCACAGGCCCCTCGGGAGAACTCCAAGGACTCTCAGGGAAACTCTGGAGAAGACTCAGTGAAGTGGGGAAGGAGCACACAAATCTCTGGAAAATAGGCTGGGCAGGCCCCTCAGGAGGACGCTGAGGACTCTCAGGGAAGCTCTGGAGAAGACTCAGTGAAGTGGAGGAGAAGGACCACACCAAACTTTGGAAAGCAGGCTGGGCAGGCCCCTCAGAAGGACTCTGAGGACTCTCAGGGAAACTCTGGGAAAGATTCAACGAAGTGGAAGCGATGAAGGGGCTCAGAGCACTCTGGAGAGGAGACTGGGCAGGCCCATCAGGAGGACTCTGGGGATACTCAGATGAACTCAGGGGAAAACTCAGTGAAGTGGAGGAGCTCACAGGACTCAAGAGAGGAGACTGTACAGGCCCCTCAGGTGGACTCTGAGGACTCTCAGGAGTACTCTGAGGACTCAATGAAGTGGAGGAGATGAAGGTGCTCACAGGACTCTGGAGAGGAGACTGGGCAGGCCCCTCAGGAGGACTCTGGGGATACTCAGGGGAACTCAAGGGAAGACTCAGTGAAGTGGAGGAGGAGCTCACAGGACTCAGGAGAGGAGACTGTACAGGCCCCTCAGGTGGACTCTGAGGACTCTCAGGAGTACTCTGAGGACTCAATGAAGTGGAGGAGACGAAGGTGCTCACAGAACTCTGCAAAGGAGACTGGGCAGGCCCCTCAGGAGGACTCTGGGGATACTCAGGGGAACTCAGGGGAAGACTCAGTGAAGTGGAGGAGGAGCTCACAGGACTCAGGAGAGGAGACTGTACAGGCCCCTCAGGTGGACTCTGAGGACTCTCAGGAGTACTCTGAGGACTCAATGAAGTGGAGGAGACGAAGGTGCTCACAGGACTCTGCAGAGGAGACTGGGCAGGCCCCTCAGGAGGACTCTGGGGATACTCAGGTGAACTCAGGGTAAAACTCAGTGAAGTGGAGGAGCTCACAGGACTCAGGAGAGGAGACTGTACAGGCCCCTCAGGTGGACTCTGAGGACTCTCAGGAGTACTCTGAGGACTCAATGAAGTGGAGGAGATGAAGGTGCTCACAGGACTCTGGAGAGGAGACTGGGCAGGCCCCTCAGGAGGACTCTGGGGATACTCAGGGGAACTCAAGGGAAGACTCAGTGAAGTGGAGGAGGAGCTCACAAGACTCAGGAGAGGAGACTGTACAGGCCCCTCAGGTGGACTCTGAGGACTCTCAGGAGTACTCTGAGGACTCTGTGAAGTGGAGGAGATGAAGGTGCTCACAGGACTCTGGAGAAGAGACTGGGCAGGCCTCTGAGGAGGACTGTGGGGATACTCAGGGGAACTCAGGGGAAGACTCAGTGAAGTGGAGGAGGAGCTCACAGTACTCAGAGAGGAGACTGTACAGGCCCCTCAGGTGGACTCTGAGGACTCTCAGGAGTACTCTGAGGACTCAATGAAGTGGAGGAGACCAAGGTGCTCACAGAACTCTGGAGAGGAGACTGGGCAGGCCCCTCAGGAGGACTCTGGGGATACTCAGGGGAACTCAGGGGAAGACTCAGTGAAGTGGAGGAGGAGCTCACAGGACTCAGGAGAGGAGACGGTACAGGTCCCTCAGGTGGACTCTGAGGACTCTCAGGAGTACTCTGAGGACTCAATGAAGTGGAGGAGATGAAGGTGCTCACAGGACTCTGGAGAGGAGCCTGGGCAGTCCCCTCAGGAGGACTCTGGGGATACTCAGGGGAACTCAGGGGAAGACTCAGTGAAGTGGAGGAGGAGCTCACAGGACTCAGGAGAGGAGACTGTACAGGCCCCTCAGGTGGACTCTGAGGACTCTCAGGAGGACTCTGAAGACTCAATGAAGTGGAGGAGATGAAGGCGCTCACAGGACTCTGGAGAGGAGACTGGTCAGGCCCCTCGGGTGGACTTTGAGGATTCTCAGGAGAACTCTGGAGAAGACTCGGCATCCCAGCAGCAGGCATCTCCTTGTCTGCTTGAACATCCAAAATCAGAGAAAAAAATGAGAATGAGGAGAAGGAAGAAGATGAGGAGGAGCAGTAGGAGGAAGAGGAGGAGAATTAAAAGTAGAAAGAGGAAGAGAAAATGGAGGAGGTTTCCTCCTGTTCCTCGTCTGTGGGATCCTGTGAATCTACCAACTCCAGTATTAAAATTGGGCTCTGAAAGTCTTGCTCAAAGCTGGGGCATGAAAGGTTTGGAAAGAGAGGCATGATGAATATTGTTCAGGAGCAGCAGGTAAACGTGTGACTGAGCACAAATGGGAATGATGGGGTCCCATAGGCCTGAGGGAGATAGGGGACCGTGTGAGCGGTCTCAGCTGAGCAACTCACCCATGATGGCTCTGACAAAGGCTGCCTTACAAGTCTCCTTCTCTTAAGATGGTACTCTAGCCTCACAGATCGCCTGTCTTCCTAGGGCGTTTGTTTTGTGGGAACCTGTAGGAGAATGTGAGAAAGCAACTCAGGGCACAGTTGGCTGGCAGAGCCTGGGGCACCAGGAATGGCAGTAGGTGGTTAGGACTGGGTGCTGCCATGTCTTATCTGCTTGTGGGAGTAGGGCCCTTTGTACACTGTCAGGGTGTGCACTCACCTTGACTCCTAGCTTTGCCTGGGCCTCCTCTGCTGTGCTGAGTTTAGAAGTGGAACTCAGACCCTGGTCTTCAACTCCTGGTTCCTGGACCACCTGCAAGAAGAAGTGAGAGAGGGCTGAGCACTCTGGCTCATGCCTGTAATCCCAGCCCTTTGGGAGGCCAAGGCGGGTGGACCACCTAAGGTCAGAAGATCGACAGCAGCCTGGACAACATGTATTTCTGTCTTACTGAAAATACAAAAATCAGGCAGGCATGGTGGTGGGCACCTGTAATCCCAGCTGCCTGGGAGGCAGAAGCAGGACAATCACTTGAACCTGGGAGGTGGAGATTGCAGTGAGTTGAAACCATGCCATTGCACGCCAGCCTGGGTGACAAGACAGAAACTTCTCCCAAAACAAACAAAAAAAAGGAGCAGCAGCAGCAACAGAGCCCCTCTGGCTAAAGATTGCAGCTAGGGCTGGTGAGACATCCAGAGCCCCACAGTTCTGGGGTGTGTGGCCCACTGAGAATTCTATTAGCGTTGTCACATTTTCTCAGACCGGGCCACATCCCCTACCACTCTGCCGGCCTGAGGCAAAACCTCAGAGCAACCTCCACATCCCGGAGAGCAGAGGGAGGTAGTGAGGAGGCAGCCACATCCCATACTCTACCACAGGGACAGTCGGGGCAGCCTCACATCTGCTCTGAAGCACATATGACACTTCAGTCCTCCCTCTTATCCCCAGCAGGGCCTGGGAATCTTCCCTCTGCCAACCAGAGGCAGCTGCCTCTGCTGACTTGCCATGGGACCATCAGACCAAGCCCTCCCCGTCCCTGATACCCTTCATTCAGAAAAGAGGGGGCTGCGGCTGAGCTTGAGCCAACTGGGGAGCTCTGCCAGGGCTGATACAGGGAGCAGGGTGGGAATCTGTCCTCTGAGAGGGTTCCCTCAGTCCTCCTCAGAGTCTCCCTATTTATTCCCTACAGGGCTGGCACCTACTCCGTTCTTTGGTCCTGGGGATGCGTCGTTCAGCTCTCGGCAGCCATTTTCCCGCCAAGGCTGATATGAGGGGTAGGGTTGGAATCTGTCCTCTGAGGTGGGGGTTCCCTCAGTCCTCCTCAAAGTCTCCTTATTTATTCCCTACAGGGCCACCTAGCTGCCTGCCCCGATGGCAGGATCTGAAAGGGTGGGGGGAGCAAAAGGCGGGAAAGTGAGGATTTATTTAAAAAAATAAACCAGAGGAAGATACTCACCTAGACCAGCACTGCCGGCTTTCAGGGGAGCCCCTGCAGACGTCTGGTCCTGGCAGAGGGCTGCAGGCCAACCTTGGCCCTTCCTGCGTCGTGAATAGGCCCTGCCTGTGACGGGCTCCCCAGGAAGCCCAGTGCCACCTCCCTGGCTGCAGCCCCGGTTCAGCCTCCTCTGTCGCCAGAAGACTCCTAGGCCCTCGGGGTGGTGCGCCTGTCTTTTCTAGTTTTAGACAAAAACAGACACTTTTAGTTACTGCTGACAGATTCCCACCCTGACCCTCATATCAGCCTTGGCAGGAAAATGGCTGCCGAGAGCTGAGCGACACATCCCCAGCACCGAAGAAGGGAGGAGGTGCCGGCCCTGTAGGGAATAAATAGGTAGACTTTGAGGACTGAGGGAACCCCCACCTCAGAGGACAGATTCCAACCCTGCCCCTCATATCAGCCTTGGCAGGAAAATGGCTGCCGAGTGCTGAGGGACGTATCCCCACGACCAAAGAAGGGAGGAGGTGCCGGGTCTGTGGGGAATAAACAGTAAGACTTTGAGGACTGAGGGAACCCCCACCTCAGAGGACAGATTCCAAGCCTGCCCCTCATATCAGCCTTGGCGGGAAAATGGCTGCCAAGAGATGAGTGACGCATCCCCACGACCTAAGGGAGGAGGGTGCCGGCCCTGTAGCGAATAAATAGGGAGACGTTGTGGAGTGAGGGAACCTCCACTTCAGAGGAGAGATTCCAACCCTGCCCCTCATATCAGCCTTGGCCGGAAAATGCTGCCTCTGCTGAGTTGCCATGGGACCCTCACACCAAGGCCTCCCCGTCCCTGACACCCTTCACTCAGAATTGAGGGCTGCGGCTGAGCTTGAGCCAACTGGGGAGCTCTGCCAGGGCTGATATTGGGAGCAGGGTGGGAATCTGTCCTCTGAGGGGGTTCCCTCAGTCCTCCTCAAAGTCTCCCCTATTTATTCCCTACAGGGCTGGCACCTCCTCCCTTCTTCGGTCCTGGTGATGTGTCGCTCAGCTCTCAGCAGCCATTTTCCCGCTAAGGCTGATATGAGGAGGAGGTTGGAATCTGTCCTCTGAGGTGGGGTTCCCTCAGTCCTCCTCAAAATCTCCTTATTTATTCCCTACAGGGCCACCTAGCCGCCCGCCCCGATGGCAGGATCTGAAAGGGTGCGGGGAGCAAATGGCGGGGAAAGAGAGGATTTATTTAAAACAATAAACCAGAGGAAGATACTCACCTGAACCAGCACTGCCTGCTGGCTTTCAGGGGAGCCCCTGCAGACGTCTGGTCCTGGCGGAGGGCTGCAGGCCAACCTTGGCCCTTCCTGCGTCGTGAATAGGCCCTGCCTGTGACGGGCTCCCCAGGAAGCCCAGTGCCACCTCCCTGGCTGCAGCCCCGGTTCAGCCTCCTCTGTTGCCAGAAGACTCCTAGGCCCTCGGTGTGGTGCGCCTGTCTTTTCTAGTTTTAGACAAAGACAGACACTTTTAGTTACTGCTTACAGTTTCCCACCCTGACCCTCATATCAGCCTTGGCAGGAAAATGGCTGCCGAGAGCTGAGCGCCGCATCCCCACGACTGAAGGGAGGAGGTGCCGGCCCTGTAGGGAATAAATAGGGAGACATTGAGGAGGACTGAGGGAACCTCCCACCTCAGAGGACAGATTCCCACCGTTAACCTCATATCAGCCTATGCACGAAAATACCTATGGTGGGCTGCCATATTCCTGTCAGGAATACGAAGCCCTCAGCCCTCGGTTGCCCTATTCCCGTCAGGAGGACCCGTCCCTCAGCCCTCGGTTGCCCTATTCCCGTCAGCAGGACCCCTCCCTCAGCCCTCGGGTGCCATATTCCTGTACCTCAGCCCTCGGTTACCGTATTCCCGTCAAGAGGACCCGTCCCTCAGCCCTCGGCTGCCGTATTCGCGTCACGAGGACCCATCCCTCAGCCCTTGTTTGCCGTATTCCTGTACCTCAGCCCTCGGTTGCCCTATTCCTATTAGGAGGACCCATCCCTCAGCCCTGGGTTGCCGTATTCCTGTCAGGAGGTCCCGTCCCTCAGCCCTCGGTTGCCCTATTCTTGTCAGGAGGACCCGTCCCTCAGCCCTCGGTTGCTCTATTCCCGTCAGGAGGACCCGGCCCTCAGCCCTCGGTTGCCCTATTCCCGTCAGGAGGACCCGGCCCTCAGCCTCGGTTGCCCTATTCCCGTCAGGAGGACCCGGCCCTCAGCCCTCGGTTGCCTATTCCTGTCAGAAGGACCCGTCCTCAGCCCTTGGTTGCCATATTCCCGTCAGGAGGACCCGTCCCTCAGCCCTCGGATGCCGTATTCGCGTCAGGAGGACCCGTCCCTCAGCCCTCGGTTGCCGTATTCCTGTACCTCAGCCCTCGGTTGCTCTCTTACTCTCTGTGACCTCCAAGCCCCACAGCAGGGGTAGGGCGGGCCGGGGGTTTTTCTCTTTGTGGTGGTAGGTCCCTCAGTTCTCCCTCGGGGCCCTTACCTTGAGAACTGGTTGGATCTAAGACTTCCCTCGGCTGACCTAGATCGCGCCTCCTCACAAAATGCCTTCCAAGACTTAGAAGATGGAGGCTGGGAAAGCACATCCGGGAACCCTGCGGGGGTTGACCAGGCTTGACGGCAGGGGCAGCGTGGGGTGTGGCCTCCTCTCTGCGGAGGAACAGCCCCACCCCTTCTCAGCCTCGTTTTCATCCCCCACCCCTCCTCCTGTTTTTCACGTCTTCCTTCCCATTTCTCGGATGTGCTGCAACCCTTCTTGCTTACTCCCTAAACCTTACCAACCTCTTCCCTCCCACCTCCGCAGTCCTTCACACTCATAGCCCACCTTTTTCCAGGGCTGACAGCAGGGAGTGTGGCCAGGTGCAGCCTGTGACTCCCCTCTGTGTTGGGAGGTTACCGTCTGTCAACAAAGTTCTCTTTTTATTCAGTGGCCAGCCCTGGGGCTTCTCCCTCTGCTTAACTGAAACTGCCCTCCTACGAGAAAACGTCTCCTTTTTGCTGACTCCCAAAATGGAAGTCAGAAAGTTGTACATCTGGGGACCCTGATGGGGTCCTCCGGAGCTGGCAGCAGGTACAGGGACAGTGGAGGGACACTACCAGCCTTGGGCGTTCCCTTCCAGCCTTCCCGAGGGGCTGCGCCTGGACTCACTGACTC